TGAAGTATTAAATGCTGTTTTAATTAAATAAGTGAATTTGTCCTCGCCCAGCTGGTCATGAAAGAATGCGTGCACAAAGGTCGAACAGAGATTGGAGAGGCAGATCCTTGTTTACCACTTTCCAGTCACCTGCTCTGAACTGAAATTTTAAAACGTAGCCGTTCCTGTTACAGAGCTGTTGTTGAAACACACTTCTAGCACTCTGCAGAGCAGAGCCTAAGAAAGGACAGAATTTTCCACCTGCATAAATATTTGCTTCCTATCACAAAGCCATTTGGGGTAGATCTGCCACCAAAATAAGACGTTCTGGCCTGACAGGGAAAGGATTTATTTTTTACTGTCTTTATTGTAATTTGCAAAACAGGTGAAGAATAAATTTGCTTTAAAACATTAAGACATGCTTGCAATTATATATGCATTTTAAAATCTGAGTTCTAAGTGGACTTTAAAGTTTCTGAAGGCATGGTCCTTCTGCTGTTTTCCTGCCTAGGGCGATCTACGTCGCATGTGGTCTGAGCCTTTCCACTCCAAGTCCAGCAGCTCCCGTTTCCTGGAAGTATGATGGAACAGATAGAAAGTGACCTGAACTTCTGCCTTGGTCCTTTTCACTTTAACTTGTGGCTTTGTCATCTCCTAAAGCTGGACTGGCTGGTACTTGGGAAGGTACCAACTACAGGACTTGTATGAAAGGACTTTGTATTAAAAGGAGGAAAAGAAAAAAAAGCTAAGATCCTGGAGCTCCGTGTGACTCCGTTCTCCCTGCAGATGTGGAACTGGGGACCCTTTGTGCAACTGCAGCCACTTTCCTCTTTTCCTCACTCGGATGGATTAGCACCAGACTATTACCTGTGTGAGAGAGGAAGAGACAGACTTGAAACTGAGAACGGCTTGAAGTCGTTCAGAAACTTGTGAACACTAAAAGAAATAACGTTTAAGCAAACTGAAGCTTCTTCAGAGAACCCCTCATGGACATTGGGACCAGTTTCCTGCTGGACTTCGGTTTTGAAAAGAACTGAGACAGAAGGTCTTCTGTCACAATATTGGGTTTTTTTGATTTATTAAATATTTCCTGTGGTGTGAGGTTACTTATTAAATCCACAGACATTGAGTGACTTCTTGCAGTATACATATAAAAATTTGTTGTAACAAGTTACATTTCCACCCAGATGTCATGTTGCAGTGAAAAAGGGCACGATTTTTATACATATATATATACACACATATAGATATATATATGAATAAATAAAAAGGAAAACCTGCTAAGATCATGCTATGTAGCAGACAGGGGCTTGCTGTAATTTTTAGCATGTAGAGCAGTTTACTATGGCTTTCTTGTATATGGATCTACGATGAGCTGCTCTTTTTTTCCCCCCCTCCTACAACTGAACCTGCAGTTTAAAAACAAGTGTAGTATTTGTACTGATTGTACTCATGGACTTTAGGGGATATTTGATTTTGATCAATGTAGCAAACTAGGGAAGAAAAAAATTCAAACCCAACCCTGTTCGTTTGAGGGGGGAGGGAGTGGGGGTGTCTTTTTTTTTCTTTTTTTTTTTTTTAATTTTCTTTTTTTTACAAACAGCTCCCTTGCAGGTTTTTAGTAGTTCCTTCTTGACCCAGTGCATGTATTATAGCAGCAATTGTCTTTGTGCTTTCTGATCATAGTAATGTATCACTTGTAAATACATTTTTTCTATTTTCTATTTTTTTGTATTTTTTGCATTTTGTTTCATTAGTGTGCTGTATTTTTTCCATGCCCCTGCCCCTTAAAGAAAAAAAAAAAAAAGGAAAAAAGAAAAAGAAAACTGTCCTTTACTGTTTTGACTGGTTGGAGTTTGCGTGTTGACTGCTTTGTACCTGTAGCCTGTTAAAATGTGGATTTTTATTTATTTATTTTAAACCAGCAGTTCCAGTTCTGGTTTGTTTTTTTTTTTTTGACTGAAAGGCTTCCCTAGCTAACTAGAATTTTTTTCCTTTAAAATACTCTGCCAAATTGGATTTGGGGAGCTCTCCCAAAAGCTCATAGCTCTTGTTAGTCTGATAGATGCTGGTAACTGTTAGTTGACTGGAAGGAAAACAGGAATGTTTAAGAATGAATCTGACGGAACACTAACATTACTTTGGGGTACAGTTTTGTTACAACAGGTAAGGAAGCTTTGGTGAAATGTCCGATCCTTTCTGCTCTTCCAGATGTTACAAGAAGAGCATATTTAGCATGGTAGAAAATTTTGTCCAGCCACGTGTGTACTGTCATTAATTAATGTCTTCCTCTGTTCTCAGGGAAGTCTGCCACTGGTCAGTCAGAGGGGCTGATGGGGATGATGGCCTCTGCGCTGGCTGTAACAGATCTCTGAGACAGGTGAAACATCTGAAGAAACAGTAAGCAGCAGCACAGCCCTTCGGGGGGCATGGAGGGCTCCAAGATTTAGCAAGTGTGGGTGGGCAGCTGTGGTGGTGGGGATGTTGTGACTTTATTCTATTTCTTTATTTTTTATTTCCCCCCCCCCCCAGTTCATCTCTTTCACTTAGTTGAAAGCATTTCTTCTAGCATGTGCCTGCAATGCTCGTCGTCAGGTAACTGTCACTTCTTAATGAAATAAATAGTTTTTAATTAAAAATCTGCTTTTACTGTTCATAGCAGGTGTCAGGTCCCAGACTTGCAGTCAGCTTGGGACAAAAGAAAGGCATCAGTTTTCAGCTACATACCTCAAACTTAAGCTGAATAAAATATTGATGAGGATATTCAGAGAGATTAAAAAAGACACTTTTTTGGTTTGGTTTTTTTTTTTCCCAGAGGTTCCAACCAGTGGAATAAAATCTCTAGATCCTGTTCGCTACTGCTTTATCTTTCCAGCTCTTCCACCCACCTGATAGCAATGCACAGGAGTTCCCTCCTGCCTTTGGAATTAAAATAAAAGGTCTTTCTCTGTTTTACAAGTGGTATTTTTTAGTCCCTGCCAGGAAAGCATGCCTACGAATTATTTTCTACACTTAAAAAGGATTCTGGAAAAAGTTCTATAAGTACTAATGGACAAATGCTTAATAAGAATTAATTTAGCTTTCCAGAAAAATCTTGACGTGCCTTTTTAAGCTCTACTGCCCTCCCGCACACTGCGACCTTCTGACTTGCACCAAGAGACTGAGCTGTAACTGCGACACTTGGTTTCTGAACCCACAGGTAGGTAGAGCTTCCTGCACCGAGCGGACTGCCCAGCTTCCCCGGTGGAAGGTCCCACCTGCCAGGTGAGCAAAAACTGGACTGAAAAATGTTTGCTGCCCCTTCAGTGTGCAACAGTAGCTGCCACCTGCGGGAAAAGGATTTTGGTGCTTTGCAGAGGTTAACTGAAGCATAACTGTTCTAAATACAAACCTATTACACTTGCAGAGGGCAAAGCATTCTCCTAGGTTTTTTGAGTAAGGTAAAGCTGTAAAGCTTTGTCCCACAGCTCTCCCATCTAGAACAACCTCAGCATTCAGGGGAATTAGAAGCAGATTCCTACCTCGCTACTGAGCTGCTGGGCCCTCTCTGCACAGACACACCTTTTGTCCTTGTTTCTTCAGTCTGGCTGACTATGTGTCTTCTCAGCTTGAGGATGAAACTGTAGAAGCTGCTCGGGGTGCTCTGGATTTCCGGAGGCCATGTAGGGCCTAGGGCTCCCTGTCCCTGTTGTGGCTGCTACGGTTGTTGATACCTTCTTGGTTTAACATTCTGTTGAACTCTTTAATAAAAAACTACTTGACACCAAGTCCTGCAGTGAGATCGCCAAACCACCTGCCCTTTCTTCTGAAAAGTTGTCAGAAAAAAAAATTTTAGTAATATTTGACTAACATAAGCCTTCTTATGGGAAGGTAAAAGGATACTGGCCAAAAAGTGATGGACATAGAGCGTGTCTGTAGCAAAGAATTGTAACGTACAAACCTGTTAATAGTTCTAGAGTTGGTTTTCTGCTTTGTCTTTGGGAATAGTCAGCTTAGAAATTTTACTGTTTGTGTTTTGAAATTTCCCCAAGGTCACACTTAATCTTGCAAATATTATGAGCTCAGAAATGACCTGGGGTTGTCTGGCCAGCCAGTATGGGTGAAATGTATTAGAAATGCAAGCTGGTCATTCTGTGTCTCTATTGGCCTGATGGGAGCGATCCAGGGAGTTGTCAAATCGGTGCCCAGCCTGGCTGCGGGGCTGTACTGCGCTGCCTGTGGAGGCTCAGGAGCACACCAGGGTGGCCAGTGCTGCACTTTTAATCGTGTGACATTCAGAAGTGTTTTGCTGAGATGAACATTTCCTGTCTTATATGTGGAAGTACAGCATGTTCTGTGAGAGAAGGGGAAGAAGTAACTGAGGCAATTAGGAAATACTGGCGGTTGAGTGGCTTCCCCAGCTTAGTCTTGACCTCCTTGGGGGTGGAAGCGGAGGGAAGGTTTCCAAGTATTTTTCTTTTTATACAAGTAGTGATGGAGTGGAATTTGAAATAAATTTTTAGCTTAACAGTAGTAAACTGCATTTTTCATTCAAGTTACAACACTGTCATGTTTTCTTACCTCTATTCCATTTCTTCTTGTTGTTCTTATAGGTGCTTTGCTTTTTTACTTCAGGATGTCTTTCAAATTTGGTATTTGTCATGCTTTCTAAGATCCCCAGCATAACCTGAATGTGTGGCTGCTGCCAGGTCTGTGTGTATAATGAGGGCTCTCTACTTAGGCAAAACAAAATTTTGATATAAAGTCAAAATAATTTGTACTATTTTTCTTATAGATTAACAGTGTCAGAAAAGACTAGTAGAGGAGACTAGTCTAATGTGAAAGCAATACTACAGCAATTTCAGCTGAGTCCTGTAAAACACTGTATACACTGCTTAAACTTGGAAGGTTGAGACAATGCTTGGTTTTTTTTCAAAATTGTGTGAAATTGAGAGGTGAGCCCCATCCTGCTGTGTGCCAAGGAAGTCAGATGCTTCAGAAGGGATCCAGTCTCCAGGCAGCTCCTCATTCTTGGTGGATGTGGCTCACATCCATGTGCCCCAGGAAGAGTTAAGTATTTCTCACCTGTGTGTATTTAATTGTGACAGCCCAGAACAGCTCCTCTCTTCCTTTAGTCTGGTGGCAACTGACATGAAGAGACTGTGAGCTTTAGATATGACATAAAATATATCAAATCTGCTAGTTAGGGCTCCCCCTGCTTCATTCCCAGTAGTCTGCCTCGTAACCAGTTTCATGTACACTTAAGAGCATTGTGGGGTAGAAAACACAATGTCCTTGAAAACTGTAGCTGTGGCTTACCTCCTCCCCCACATCTTTCTTATTTAGGTATGACCCGATTTTTCCCATCTCAGTGCTCCAACTTTGCAATGTTGGCCGAGTTTGTAAATTGATAAAAACTTCTCGCTTTACTTGTAACTAGATCCTTTTCTCAAAGCCTGGCCCTACCCTATACCTAGCCAGTTTAGTGCTGTCTGGGGGTGGCTCTCGGCAAGAGCTCCCTATTTAATGCTGCAAAACTTGTTTGTGTTTTGCGCTTTCAGCAGTTCTCTTCTGTAACAACAGCCCCGAGGAGCAGATGCACATGTATTACAGCCAAATTGTCTCAGCCAGCAGCAGCGAGGAGTAAGCTCTTAGTATCTTGCTCTGAGAAAACCCAGTTCTTTGCTCTCAGAGCTCTGGGGTAGGCTTTGTGCATAAGCATGCCGTTTACCCCAAAGAACTGCTGTGAATAGTGCTGTGTGACAGCTTACCGATTCCTCACTGGACTTATGCAGCAGGGAAGGTACTGGAAAGCCTTTGTGCCTTTAAAGCATGTTTTTAGGTAATAACAAAGGGAATTCTAATAGAGTAGCTTAAGATATTCCTAGGCTCAGGATCCTGACTGGCATGCTGTACCTAGACCAGCGATTTTTAACCAGCTCCACCCTTTTTGTTATTTGATGATGTGCAGTGTAATTTGATACAGACTATGGCAGAGGTGCAGCACTCAGCAACTTAGCATCAAATATGCAATTGTTAGCCAGGTCAGCTGTTGTACTGAGGTCAGAGCTAGCAAGAAGCTTGTTAAGGAGGCGTGCAGTGCATGATCCATGCATTCCTAAAAGCAGGTTCTGGTCACAGGCGCAGCAGCAGGGCTTCTGCAAGAGCTGCCCCCCATATTCTCTGCAGAAGGTCCACAAGGGATTTGATACATCTAGTTTGTAGGTTCTTCAGTTGTGTTCTCAGTCAGCTGAGGTGTTCATCACTATTCTCCCCCTTAGGTCAGCCATGATGCGTGTACAGAGACAATTTCACTCTGCTCTGGAGAAGCTGCAGTCATTTAGAGTTGGTAAATGAAGGAGGCGTGATGTTGAAGAGGAGCAGTCTGAAAGCGCTGATGGTACAGTAAAGCAGCTCTAAGAGAAGCAGCCAGCTAAAAAGAGGGGAAACAGTGCAGCAGGCATGGTCTAAGTAAGTGTGACTGACTGCTCTGGGTCGCTGGGGTTTCAGCTGGACCTCAGCACATGAGGTCAGTGAAGACAAGCACTGAACAGTAACTGCATTCCTGCAATCCTCACTTCCTTGTGGCAAGCAGCCCTACAGCTCCTGTTCTGGCTGAGTGGCTGCAAGGAGAAATAAGTATAAAATAATATCACTTTCTCCTACACAATCATAGATACGAGCCTTCAGCAATCGTCCAAGCAGTGGTATGGGCTGAAATCAAGCTAGAAAAGTGTCTCTCACTCCTGGAAGACCTCCATAATTTACAACACATTCACAGTCTTTAGAATGGTTTTCCAGTAGAAATTCCCTGTTGAATGCCCTGCTTGGCTCAGTTTCTGTTAATCCTTAGGTTTGCGAGAGCAGCAAGGAGAAATTAAAGACTTGAAGACTTTGCCCCAACATGCAGTTGCCCTCTAGCGACCTGCAAAGGGTTTATTTATATTTCTGGGATGTCTGCACTAGCAAATGCCTGCTGCACTTCAAAGCAGTGTCTAACTGGTGCGTGCCAGCCCAGGCGGTTTATGCTCCTGTGTCTTGTGACTGGAAGAAAATACTCTAAATGAATTCACATTTGCATGAAAAAAACAAAGTGGGGACTGGTGCTCCTTAAAATTAGGTTTTATTTGTCTTCTCTGCTCTCTGTATGTAATAGAATCCTGCTGTTTTTCCTTCCACACAAATTAAATAAATGGCACCACAGGAAAATAACCATTTACCTCTAGTTTACTCATCGTTTGGACAACGAGATGGACCATAAAGGCTGTAGTCTTAATTGTCTCCATCTTTTCCTGAGTTTAGAGCTTTTCTTTTGGCTGTTGAATCTTCTAAAAGTTAATTTTTTGCCAAAGATAACTGATTGAGGATATGTGCTACTGCTAAAGCTTCCTGGTAAGGTTTTCTGTGTCATCTGTTAATTTCCTCCTTGTTGCCCAAAACATGTAGAGATTAAAGGCTGTTGCTGCTACTTCATGTACTTCCTTTCCTGTTGGGTAGTTGTTGGTATAGTAAAAGCAGCTTTGGGAGCAGAGGTTTTTTTGGTTTGTTTTTTTTTTTCTTAAAAAAACCACAGTCTCAGGTAGTGCAGCTTTTCTGTCCTTTGCTTTTACACCTACATCCATAAGTGGCTGAGTGAGCAGGCTCCTGGGCTCTGCTGGCCAAGATCCAAGGGTTTTTTCCTGACCTGTTTTTACACCTACATAGAAGCAACCCCAGCCTGTACGAAGACCCCTTGGTGCGTAGGTAGTACCTGTGTCCTCCCATCTGGCTCCTCTCCTGCTGAAAGTAGGGAAGAGTGCTCTGCTGCAATGATTACCTCAACACAGGCTGTATCCAATTACGAGCTCCCACATAGCTGTGTGCCACACCTGAAATTCATCAAAGCCTGATCAGAAGAGGCTGTGTAACCCCAGCCTGGAGCAGGGCACAGGGGTCCTGTCTGAGTGCCTCTAACTTTGGCACTGGTTATTCAGTATCACAGTGACTAATTTTTGGAAAACAGGCAGAGAGAGCTGCTGACTTTACTGAACAGCAAAGTCATTTTGCCGCTACCAAACCAACACAACGCTCCAGCTTAGGAAAAGGTCTACGCTCCCATACAAGGACAGGTTGCCTCCTCCCTCCTGCACTCGCAGCCATCACTTACAAACCTAGATAGGGCCTTCTGTGCACCATACTATGTCCAAAGAAGAATCAGCACATTTTAACAAGAGGGTCAGTTACTCATTGGTGAGGAAAACTTCCATCATTAGCCTCATTGAAGACGGCCAAGACTCGATTGCTGTTGCGCACTGTTACACGAGGCACTCTGGGGCAGTGTCTTGCTCTAGTCAGCTGCTTCAGCTACGGTAGGCCTTCAGCAATTGACCTGCTATCACCAGTCTTTGGATCTCACTGGTCCCCTCATAGATCTCGGTGATACGAGCGTCACGGTAATGGCGTTCTGCTGGCATCTCTGTCACATAGCCCATCCCGCCCAAGATCTGGATGGCCTGAAACAAAGGTAGCAGGTTAGAAAGGAAGCAGGGTCAAGGAATTTGTTTTCTACAGAACACAGCCACCTTAAAAGGAGCTAAGCCCACTGCAAGCATAACTGGAGGGAAGACGTGGGGATGACTGCAGCCCATTTGCAGTCAGAGGAATAAATAGGATTTTAACTGGGTAAGAGCAATACTGATGTCCCAGACAGAGAATGAATCGCTTCAGAGGTAGTTGTTAGTGAACCATGTTTGGCTAAGACACTGTTAAGGACAGGGGAAAATAAATGCAGACACCGGAAGTCCCGCTCCATTTGCTCACTATGTTGCAAACTTACTAGTAGTCCTGACTGGTGCACCCATGTTCTCTCCCCCATTGCTAATCCCACTCAAAATTTTGACACTGCCCTGGACAGCAACAGGCACAGAAGACTTCTTTAATAATACAGCTGCCACAGGCCACCACAAATCCCTGCCCACACCCAGGAGGATGGCTGTACTAACCAGCCTCAGTCATACAGGTTGGTTTGGGTTTGTTTTTTTTAAAAAATCTAGTAAATTCCATGCCACCTTCCCCAAGCACTTGTGCAACAACACAAACTCCCTTTCAGCATGCTGTGTATCAGAGATGTCAGTTGAAGTAGTTACCTGGTGAGCAATGGCTGTTGCAGCTTCTGATGCAGCCAGTTTGGCCATCGCCGCTTCCTTTGGAGAAGGAAAACATCACTGAGGGTGCAGCTATCACAAAAAGGAACAGGTCACTTGCACTAGGAGCTTGAACACCCACAGACCAGCTGTGCAGAGGCAGGCCTGATCATTGGTGCCAGCTGACAGTGGCCACCTCCCTCCCCTTGGCTAAAACCAGGACTCAGCTCAGCAGGCTGCCTGAGGATTGACAGCAGAGTCCAGCATCTGCTGGTGGGTTAAACACCAACAGCACTGGCTGGGCAAGCGCCGAATGCAGCAATGCTGTACATAGTGTGGTTTCCTTGCCTTGAGCCTGTGCCCCGTGTTGTCACTGTTGGACAAATGCAAGGCTGGAAATACCTTTGTGAAGGGCTTCCCATTGTCTTTCAGCATAGCGGCTCTCCAGGTCAGCAAGCGCGCACCCTCCAACGCCACAGCCATATCTGCTAGCTTAAACTGCAACGACAAACACTGCCTTTGTTCCAGGTGCTGGCCTCTGCCTGCGCAAGAACATACAGCAGAAGTCTCCCACCCCTGAGGCCAGTATTGCTAGAAAAGGAGGGCCTCCATCCCAACAATCAGTTTTAAGTGTTTTAAAACAGAAATTATTACCCTATTTAGGCCAAACAGCGCAAAGTGCACTGTGTGCCAGAAGCCACGCCTGAGAGCGCACGTGAACTTTGCACCAGCGATGCTTGGAGCTGCCTCGTCCACCTGGTTTGTACCTGCACTGCCTGTAGCTTTGTGATGGGCGACCCAAAGGCCATTCTCTTTTCAGCATAATCCACAGCACAGTCCAGAGCTGCCTGTGCTATTCCCAGAGCCTGTGAGGCAATACCAATTCTTCCTGCATCCAGAGTTTGCTGAGAAACAAACAAAATACATGTGTTAAGTCAAGTCATGCTTGATCAAAGATAGTACACTCACATTTCTGATCTTGCTGGGGAGCTGCTGTAGCCTTAGTATCCTGTGGTCAGAGACTTCCTTGATTCAGAATATTCCTGGTTATGCAGGAATAGAGCGCTTTAAAATGTACTGGGCACTGCAGAGAGAAGCCAGGTGTACAAAATAAGGGAAACAGCACAACGAGCAGCATCTGCTCTGGAAGGGGCTGAAAGAACCCTTCAGCTAGACCCCTGGCTCACTGTGCAGCTGATTTTACTTTAAGTGAAAAAAAAAAAAAAAAAAAAAAAAGGAAATCTGGTCAGTTTTCCTCTTTGCCCTTATCAGTACACACACTGAAGCAAGCATTTTTCAAAATGACTAGTGAATTGAGTCAGTAACCTGACTTACCTCAAACACCTGCCCATTTTGCTTTTAACTGCTTCCCTGCCTCACTATGCACAGGAATAATTTACAGCACAGTGAGAAAAGGCTTCATCTTCCCAAGTCCTGGGCTGAGCGTCTTAAAAAAGTGGTTGGTGACTGGCGGGTTCATCTAGTTTTGGACATAATGGAATGGGCTGTTCTCCAGGGCGCTCAGCCTTTTTCAAAAAGTCAGGCCAACAAATGGTGTTTTGCCCCTACAAAGAGAGCAATGAACACTTCCAAGGGGTAGTGCGTCACTGCAAGGAACGCGCTGTTCTGCAGCTGCCTGGCTCCTCCTCAGAAGTCACACACATGCCATAACTCGGATTTCATCCACCTTTAGACACTATCCAGAGGTTGTTCTGGGCCTCCAGGACAGCTTTCCTCTGCCACAGTATTTAGGGAAAATGCCATGTTTTCCCTTTATCTGCAGGTACAAACTGGAGGAATAGAGGGTTGGGAAAGGAGAAAAATCAAAATACACCACCCCTGCTGACACACCACCTCAGCAGCATCACCATTCTTTCATCTGAGAACCACCACATTGAGTCTACAATAAAGTGCTGCAGTAAGGATCTGCAGTAAATTAATGATTCATCAAGCTCTGTGAATGATTTCTCCCACGTTAGCAAGAGGGGTCAACTGCTTAATGTCACACAGAACAGCTTATGTAAGTGGTCCTCACCAAAGTGATCGTAAGTCTGAAAATGGTTTTGAAAATGGTAAACTTGGGAACTACAGCTTTACACAACCACAGCTGCACCCCAATCCATCTCTTACCATGGCAATTTTGAAGCCCATTCCCAGCTGCCCCAGTAGGTTGGCCTTGGGTATCCGACAGTCCTCAAATATCAGGTTGGCAGTGGAAGAGGCTCGAATTCCCAGCTTGTCTTCTTTCTTCCCCAGTGACAGCCCAGCAGTTGGCATGGGAACCAGGAACGCGCTAATGCCCTGCAAGGAGACCCAAAACTCTTAGGAGTGTTGCCAACTTCCCACTTACCTGGCTGTCAACAGGATTCCTCCAAACATTTTTCATAGAAGCCACATGTCTAGGTGTTTTGGGGTTGTGTGGCAGGGGCTACAGGGATGGCTCCTGTGAGAAGCTGCTAGAAGCTTCCACGGCTCCAAGTCAGACCCACCTCTGGCCAAGAGTGACCCAATCAGCAACGGTGGTAGCACCTCTGCGATAACATATTTAAGAAGGGGAAATCTGCAGCAGAGAGGGGAGTGGGATGTGACAGAAACCCCAATGCAGATACCAAGGTCAGTGAAGAAAGAGGGGGAGAAGGTGCACCAGAGGAGGGGATGCCCCTGCAGCCTGTGGTGAGATGGCGGGCTGTCCCCCTGCAGCTCATGGAGGGGAGCAGAGGAGCAGATGCCCACCTGCAGCCCATGGAAGAGCCCATGCCAGAGCAGGGTGATGCCCCCAAAGATGGCCATGACTCCACGGGAAAGCCCGCACTGGAGCAGTCTGTGACTGAAGATCGGCCCACAGAAAGGACCCACATTGGAGCAGCTCATGAAGAACTGCAGCCCATGGGACGGACTCACATCGGAGAAGTTAATGGAGAACTGTCTCCTGTGGGAGGGACCCCACACTGGATCAGGGGAAGAGTGAGGAGTCCTCCCCCTGAGGAGGAAGGAGTGGCAGAAAGGAGGTGTGATGAACTGACCCCCAACCCCTACTGCACAGCCCCCTCACCTCTTGCCGGGAGGAGGTAGGGAGGAGTGGGGGGAAGCTGTTTTAAGATTTGGGTTTACTTCCCATTATCCTGTTTTGATTTGATTGGTAGTAAATTAAATTGATTTTGGTTTTTTCCCCAAGTTGAGTCTGTTTTTCACCCGTGACTGTAAGTGGCGAGTGATCCCTCCCTGTCCTTGTCTCGACCCACAAGCTTTTCTTTGTATTTTCTCCTCCCCATCCTACCAGAGAGGAGCGAGCGAGCGACCTTGTGGTCCTTTGCTGCCAGCTGGGCTTAAACCACAACACTAGGTAACCAGGAGAAGGGAGGGGAGAGCTGAGACGGAACAGAGCCAGCACACATCAGCCACTCCTCTGCTCAATGCCTGAACGGCTCTAAACAGAGTCCCCAGAGCCTTTTCAAAGTGCTTCTCCTGCACAACTCCTTTACACCCACCCCTTTTTCCTGACTGACCCAAATGAACACACCTTGTGCTTCAGGGATTTATCCGTAGTAGCAAACACCACAGTGGCCGAGGCGTCCCAGGCGTTGGTGATCCAGGCCTTGGTGCCATTCAGAACCCACTCGTCGCCATCCAGGCGTGCCACCGTGGACGCCGCACCCGCGTCACTGCCATTTCCTGAGCAAGGAACCAGCAAATAAAACTCAGGCAATCGGTGGCAGCCTGGGGTGCAAACCCACCCCCCGCCCACACCCCCTGTCACAGCACCTCTTTTAACTGCAGTAGTGTCACCACTGTCCCTCCCACAGGACCCACACAGGGAGGGGAAAGGCCCATCTGTCTAAGATGTGTCCATCTCCAGAGCTCTGCTCACACAGAGCGGATGAAAATTTTCAGCATGGACCATGGGGATGGCAGTTAATACCTTGGGCACTAGGACTTTGTTTACACAGAATGGCTATAAACCACCTTTCTACAAACTGCTACAATTTCACAGACCTAAAGTCCATCGTAAACCTGACTAAGGAAAGAAGCTACCCTACATTCTCTGCAACAGGAACAGTAACAGTCACATCACCTGGTTCACTAAGGGCAAAACATCCGATTTTCTCTCCACCGGTGAAGGGAGCAATCCATTTGTGCTTCTGTTCTTCGGAGCCAAACTTGAGTATTGGCCCTAAATACAGAGACTTTAAGAATTGAGTGTTGAGTTAGTGCCTCTTGAAGGTACAAGCGATCCAGTAACTCCCTAATTTCTAAGTGCTCTCCAATACACCAGAACCCTCCACAGGAACAGACCTCATTTCTCCCACAAACCCCTCTCCAATACCCCCCTGACACCAGCCTCAGTTCCACACCTGTCCCTCACATGCAACCTGAGACACTTACATTATTGACGCTGATGATGACACCCGTGGACGCGCAGCCCCTGCTGATCTCCTCCACAGCAATGGAATAGGCCAGGTAGTCGAGGCCCGCTCCTTTGTACTCCTCCGGCACATCCATAGCCAGCAGCCCTAAGCCACCCATCTTCTTTACCTGCACACAGGGAATGGAGGAGTGAGACCCTCTGCGCCACCAGTGTCCCAGCAAATAACACACAGACACATGGAGATAAAAACAGGTCATAGCAGGGCTACACACAGAGGAAAAGATGTGCACAACTCCTGGTGAAATGGGAATCTGACTGTACCAACTGGTAAGTGTCCCCAGGTCCCGATGACTTCAACAAGAGCCAAGAGCTGCACGCAGTGCCTGCTGCCTAAGACAAGGCTCTTGCTTATTTAAAGAGCTCTCTTCAGTACCGGGAAGGAGGGAGCCTTCTGAAATAGGCAGATACAACCCCACCAACATTTCCTCAGCCTCCCACCAAAGCTTTCCCCTTTGCATGTCCCCTATCAGTAGGAAGCTCTCAATGGGAAATCTAGCTGATAAAAATCATTAGAACTTTACCTTTGAGTCTGCTGAGCTTCAGCCTAGGACCGCACAAGGAAAGAATTTTACAGAATGAATGACCCATAGAACAGTTTGCAAGAAGGTGATTTTTTCTTTCCCATTAATTGTTGGTTACATGCCACATTATTCCACCCCAAGTTCCTCAGCTGGACCCCTGCTTTCTTAACTGTAAGCTCTTTAGAGCACTGACTGTATCACTCTAGGTCTCTTGTTAATGTTTGGCAACATACAAGAGAAAAAACCACCTTTCCTCTGTTTTTACATTTAAGATGTCAAGCTTTTGGTGTTGCGGAAATAACTGTGTCACCAGCCTCTGCTTGCTTTAAGAGGAACCAAGGGAATTTTTAAACAAATATTTTCCCTCCTGTATGGGCACCCAAAACACTAGTCCTTCACATCAAATCCAGAGGATGAACAAAAGCCAGCAACTAGTTCTATGTATGTTGCTTTGTCTTAATAAACACTGTTTACATTTTGAATTTTCCCCTACACATTCAAGTGAAAAGACTCAAAAATAAAATGTAAAATTCTCAGATAAGAACAGTGAAGTAAAGTGGAAAGTAGTTTCTTCCTTAGAGCGAGTATGACTTTCCCGGCTTAATCCTTCCTTAATCCTTAACAGAAAGAGGGACGTATGACAAAACTTGCATGCCTCTGACTGTTCTCACTTGGAGCCTTTTGGCTAACGTAACAGTATATATTTTTCTGGAGCTTAGTACTTCACTGCAGTGAAACAGGTGAGTTAGTCTGCTCAACATGGCACAGAATGTACTGCTGTGTCTGTACTGCTTTCCACAGGAGAAATCACAGGTTTGATTAGCATCTCAATTTCTTCACAGCCCCAGAGGATGACTAACATGCATCTCCTATCTCCTGATCACTTCTTTTCACCATCTGAAATGCACTTGGGTCACCCACACTTCCTCACTATAAATCATTTTTACAGTTATCTGCAGTCTATGAAAGTATTTCATTGGTTTTATAAGTCAGTTGTATTACAGCCCACAGGTAAGGCAGTAAGAGAACTGAAAATTCAACGGTACTAAAGTCAGACACAGAGAAACGCAAGTAAAGAGCTCAAAATGTCCCGTGGGCATTACAATGTCCGCACTCAACGAACTCTGACAGAAGTTGATCTAAACCTCAATTTTCTACTAAGCCAGAGCTTAATGTACTTTTTGCTTCAGGCCCAAGCGGCGCTACCCCAGCAGCAGAGGGAAGTCAGGCTCTGAACGAGCCAGTCCGCCTCCGTCGTGCCCACCTCCCGGGGGGAGCAGCACCCACCTGCTCGGCCGGGAAGCGGTGCTCCTTATCCAGCTGAGCTGCGAGAGGCATCAGCTCCTTTTCTGCGAAGTCCCGGCACGTCTGACGCAGCATCTGGTGTGTTTCTGGCAGCTCCGCTGACTGGTACACCGTGTGCAGTCGGCGGAGGCACCCAAAGGGCAGGGCTGAAAGGAAGGAAAGGAATTGAGCGCCGTTGCTTCCC